CTCCTGATTCAAGTTTTAAAGCTACAGTAAAGGAATGTCAGGCCACTTGAGGGAATCTTAAAAGGCTAAATGCACAACCTCCCCTTTAAAGTGGATGTTGTTAACCAGGGACGTGCACAGACATTTGGAGGGGCTATTGCTCTAAACTGGAAAAAGGGCCTCCCCCCGATAAAAAACATAAGACCTTTTGAAAAAAAACTTGTTTCTAATGTAAAAGAAACCAAACGATTACTATATCAACTAAATTGAACAGTAATTCACATCTTATAACAAAATAAGCTACTTGCATTCGGTGACTTGATTTCAAAAATGAAAACCAGGGACATTTTTTGTTTTGAGGTCCATATCTCATCAAAGATGTCTAATGTTAGTAACTATTAAAGACAAAATGGGGACAATTCTGTTCTAATGTACAAACTCCCCTCTCTCCGGCAGAAACAGGAAATGCCGTAACTGTATGTAACAAGTTTCAAATCAGCATCTCTTTGACAAAAAGTTTAAATGAATAACTCAGATAAAACTCCAAACATCTTTCATTGTGTTTCAAAGCTCTTTTAGTTTTAAATCTGATGTTTTTGCAACGGTCTGTAAATATACACAACTTTATAATAAAATGCACACATTTACCTTTTTCTAGACTAAACACAGGTATACGATCCTAAGTAAAAAAATATATGAGGTTATCATGAGGTTGTTAACATCGCAATTTATCAGTGGATGTTTGCTGGAACTAGTTGTAAACAGCGTGTTTCCTGACCGAAACACACAGCGTAGAGTCCGGTCAGGTAGAGACCGGTCTCTAGTCAGCACCGCTGCAGACTCGCTGTTTGAGGGCTTGATAGCCCACTCCCCCTCCACACCGCTCCACACTCGTTGGTTTGGAACAGCACTTAATGTGGCGGACCCTCCGCGCGAACGCCCAAACGGAGGAGTAGTGTGTAGGGGTAGGGTGTAGGTGTTATCATGTTGATTCGGCCACAACAGAAAAAATAAAAACAAACTCTCTCTCTCTCCAGAGGGACAGGTCAGCCAAAAAGGCCAAACGGGCCGTTGCCCGGGCAACATTAGCCCGTACCTGTGCACGTCCCTGTTGTTAATATTAGCAAACTGTCTGTATTCATATCACGCAAATAAAGAGCAACATAGGGAGTCTACAAGTCCAATATTAAAAATATGAATTGCAGTTTTAAATACATTTGTCACAATTGATATTACATACATTTAAAGGATTTATTTTTATTTTAAGTATAGCTAGCATAATAATGGCCTCCTTACTGTATTACACTGTACATTTTGAGAAACAATCCTGTTTTCAGCATTAATATAAATCTTATCACTACTGTATGAACTTATTTTTAACATGTTTATTGTTGTTATATATTGTAGAACTATGTAGTAATATGTGGAAATTAAAGTATACATTTGCAATTTATGTTCACTAATTATGTTGATACAAATAGGATTACCTTGGAAAACATACCATAAAACAAAGAGGACGCCTTATTTGTATGTAGATTATACTTTACAGCTGATTATAAATGAACAGCTGTGTGCCCTAATTGATGCCACAACCTCAAGCACACAACGCAAGTCAAACTGTAATAATGAGTGCTCTATGCATTGCGTACAGTATTTCATTGTTTGTTTAATATAAATTGGCACCAACAACTACTGCAAGTCAACAATGATTGAATTTCCAATGTGGGTACTAATAACCCCTTCAATGACACAAGCACCCCCCTTTTCTGGGGATACTACTTATCTGTTTTTTCAATATGGAGATGTGCAACATTTTGCAACACATTTGACTGTGCAGGATTTATAATCCCAACAGAACACCCAGCCTCTCTCGTAAAATACTGAAACCTCAGCACCTTTTGCTCTCTTCTCTTTGGCTTCGATTGCTAAAATTGGACAATACTGATTTTCGAACTCAACATTTTAACAATGGCTGACAAAAATAAGCAGGAAACATATCATTAGCAAAAGGCACCAACGCCTACGGACACATATGATCCCTTGAGAGTGCAAAGATGAAGATTGGACAACCCGTCATCGGACTTGAATGTGTGAATATTTCATGTAAGTCAAGGCATGCAGCAATGCAACATCCCTTGAACACCCCTCTCTCTCTCTCTCTCTCTCTCTCTCTCTCT